GCTGAGTGCTGCTTGACAGATTAACATGTTAGGGCAGGGATTGATGAGCTACAACCCACAAGCCAAATCCACTCACTGCTTGTTTTTGTACAGCCTGTGGGCTAAGAATGGTTATGACAGGTTTAAATGGTTGGGGGGGGGGGGGGGGGGGAATAAGACTATTCCATGACATGTGAAATTTACATGAAGTTCATGTTTCAGCATCCCAAACTAGTCTGACTGGAACACAGCTACATTCACTTGTTTATATATTGTCTACCATTGCTTTCACCCTACAAAGGCAGAGCTGAGTAGCTGTAACAGAGGCAATGTGACTGCAGAGTTTAACATATTTACCATCTGGCCCTATGAGGAATATTCTGCCGGCTCCTGTTAGGGCACTAGCAAAGCTGGCAGGACAAGCTCCTACCTCCTGCAAAATTTGAAGTTCAGTGTAATTAATGCATCGAGAAGGTCACAATGAGAAAATTGTAACCAATGCTGTGTTCATTTCAGAACATAACACCCAAGTTTTGTGGTTTACAACATTATATTGTTTTTAGTGTGTTAGGATCACTAAAGGTTTGCATTCTACTCTCCTCATTTCTCTTGTAATATTCAAGGCACAGTGCATGCTGGGCATGTAGTAGGTGATCTGCAATACATACGGATAAAATAGGCTCAGTTCTCGCCATCAACCAAACATCTTCTAGTGAGATGATGCTCTCGCTCATGTTGTAGATGGGGAACGCTGAGGCCTGAGTCAGTGAGGACACTGGCCCAAGCTTCATGCAGCTGGTCAGTGTCAGAACAGTCTGGTACCCAGGTCTTTTTTTTTTCTGGACCAGGATGTCCTGATGTGGCACTGTAGGATAAGCACTGGACTGCTAACTGCAAAGTTGGCAGTTCAAACCCACCAGCCACACCTCAGAAATAATATACAGGGTTGCTATGAGTTCCAACCAACTCGCTGGCACTTAACAATGACAGTCGTGATGAAGACAAGAGATCCTTTCTCTCTCTACATATATGTATATACATACATATATAATTAGATAGATGCAGTCTTGGTTTGGCACTGTGAAATACAGCACTGGACCACAAGGTTGGTTTGAACCACAAGATCGATAGTTTAAACTCACCAGCCATTCCTTGGAAACTCTATATAGAGTTACTGTGAATTGGAACTGACTTGATGACACATCACAACAACAACATAGATACGTAGATAGATAAGAAGCACTGGTAGCGTTCTGCTCCCATAAACATCTACAGCCTTGGAAACCCTGTACAGGGTCACTGTGAGTCAGAACCAACTCCATGGCACATCACAACAACAACATAGATAGATATGTTGTTGTTAAGTACCATCCATAGTAACTTTGTAGAGGGTTTCTGAGGCTTTACATCTTCACAGGAGCAGAAAGTCTCATCTTTCTCCAAAAGAGAGCTGGAAGGCTCGAACCTCAGACCTTGTGGTTTGCAGTCCATTGCTTATCATATGGAGCCATCACGCTTATATATATAGCTCCTAGTTGAAATGGAAAGAGCAAATTCTAACATGTGTGGTGGAGAGGCATCTTATCCAGCAGATATCCGGCCATCCTAGGTTCCCTGCCAGCCATAATAGGTTTCCTTAGCTGGGGGGTCTTGGCAAGTGCCCAAGAACCAGTGAGGGATGAGTGATTTTTCCTTTTTTAGGCAAACAGAGGACAGGTGTAGAGTGAACTGCTCGAGGGGAGGAGTACGGGGAAGTGACCGAAGCTGAACTGGAGGATCCAGAGAAGCTGAAACCTAAAGGGAGCCACTACCTAAAGCAGCTCTGGTAGTGTAGTGGTTATGAGTCGGGTTGCTAACCTCAGGTCAGCAGTTCGAAACTACCAGCAGTTTTGCAGGAGAAAGATGAGAGGCTTTCTGCTCTCATAAAGATTTACAGCTTTGGAAACCCTATACAGTGTCACTATGAGTCAGAACCGACTTTGCGGCACCTAACACCACCACCAACACTAGGAACTAGGCTTGCTAAAGAGAGAAAGAATAATTTGGGAGTCTGAAGAGCCAGGCACCAAGTTGCTGGGAACAGAAAGGAGGCTTTGAAAGGAGACAGTCAAAGGCCAAGTTGCCTGCATGGCCGCCTCAAGAGGGGCTGTCCCTGCTTCTAACAGTTTCATAGTTGTCATCAAGTTTACTCCAGCTACTGGTGATGCCGTTTGTGTCACTGCAGAAGTGGGCCACAAGGTGTTCAATGGTGGCTTTTTGTACATAAATTGCCAGGCCTTTCTTCCAAGCTTCCTCTGGTAGGACTCTAGCCTCTAGCCTTTTGATGAGCAGTTGAGCATGTAACTGTCTGTACCAGCCTGGGATTCATGCCGCACTAAAGCCAGAAAATTTCTACAGCTCAACATTAACTTCAGGTCTACAGAATGCCAAACCATTGAGCCAAGGAGAAAACCCACATTTTTCTGCCATCAGGGAGTTCCAGGGTAGTTACAAACCATTATCACGCTTGTCTGCAAGCCATAAGGTTGGAGGTTTGAATCCACCCAGAAGTGCCTCAGAGAAAAAGTCTGACAAACTGGAAAACTTGAAAACGCTATGGAGCACTGGACCACAAGACCAGTTTGAACTTTAAGGTAGTGGTTCAAACCCACGAGCTGCTCCTTGGAAACCCTATGCAAGGTTGCTATGAGTTGGAACCGACTCGACAACACTTAACAACAACAACATGGAACATGGTTCTGCTCTAATAGGGTGCAGATTTAGTGACAACTGGTTTTGGTCTGCTACCAGACTTCTGCCTTTCACCCAGGAGGAGTCTGGAATAAGCCAGGGAGGATGGTGCAGGGAATATCCAGACCTCCATCAGGACCTCAGTAGTTGTTATGGGAGAAGACAGGGGTGTGAGGACTCAATGGTGACTTCCCCTGTGCTCAGGATGAAATTCAGAGTCATGTGCATGACTGTCCAGGCTGTATGTCTGGTCCCTACTTCAATCTCACCTTGCACCATCTTCTGCTCACCCTCTGCACTGCAACATAATGACCTTGAGTGTACTCTATGCCTTTCCACCTCAGGGCCTTTGCACAGACTGCTCTCCCTGCTTGGAACACTATCTCATCACTTATTCTTCTGAAAATTACTCAAATATTACTTCTTCAGATTAGCCTTCCCTGACCACCCAAAGCCAAGTTTATTTCATATAATCAGGGCTGCTGTTAAAGTCTTCTTTGGGAGCATTTCTAAAGTAGATGATCTGTATGATCAGTGTGTGCCTGTCTTCTGGATACAATGGAACCTCCTTGGGGCCAAGGACTCTGTCTTGCTCCTTGCTGTGTCTAAGTGCTTACTCTAGGGCCTGACAGTTAGCAGCAGCTCAGTAAATGATTGTATAAAGGAATGCATGAATGATAGGTACCACCAGGGACTGAATCAGTGCCTGGAGTTATGGAGACTGCTGTGGACTGGTGGATTGACATGTGATGTCAATTAACCATAGGTGTAAATGCACCTGTGTCCAGACCTAGAGTTACCAAGCGATGTTCTGGGGCAGCACTACCCAAAAGATTTCGCTGCAATGATGGAAATGTTCTCAACCTGTGTGTCCGGTATAGTAGCCATGGTGCATGTGTGGCTCCTGAGCACTTGAAATGTGTCTTGTGGGACTGAAGAACTGATTTTTTTTTTGTTTCATTTCATTTTAATTGACCTAAATGTCAGTAACCACGTGTGGCTAGTATCAACACAGGGCCAGCCTCGCTCTATAGAGAAGAAAAACCACTGCTGTCCTGCAGTTCCCAAGGCTGTCACATGCAATTCTTGGTCCTTGGGGTCACACATGCAGTTTTGCAGCTTCATGAGGCAGGACCTCAGGGTCTCACCATTCTTTATTGCCATCAAGTTTGTCACAGAGACTACTGGGCAATAATGACTTGATGGCAAGTCTTAAGTCCAAACTCCAGAAGGAAAATGCTGAGAGTGGGGCCTCATCTTTATTATTTTAAAAAATCATCTATTCTATCGCCACCAACATGATCAACATCACCACCCGACTGTCCCTGATATATTCACCAACACCTTCAAGCAGTGACCCATAACCACCCAAACTGCAACCAACACCATTCTCTCACTCATCACACCATCCCCAAGACAATTCTCAACACCACAACCCACCAATGCCCCACACCAACATTGTCACCACCACCATTTACCAATCACATCATCCAATCCCACCCCACCACCACCATCAATCTCACCACTAATTCAACTACCATCACTATCACCACCATCACACCACATCAGTCCTGCCACTGACATCACTGGGACAGCCATTGTCATCTCCTTCATCATAACCACCCCCACCCCTTTCATCAAACCCCTGACACCCTTCACCTCAACACCATTACCACCACCATCGCAACCACCTTGGAAGCTATCTAGGAAAACCTTTTAATAGCTTTGACTCTGGGTTCAAATCCCAGCTCTGAGTTTGTCATTACAACTTCTATGGGACTCAGTTTCTTCATCTGTAAAATGGGGCTAATCATGGTAATACGATAATAAGACCTATCACCAGCAACTGATGAAAAAAATTAAATGAGAAAATGCATATGCACAGAGCTTAAACTACAATCATTTAGCTCTTCGAGGTTCTGTGCTCAGTGAGCACAAGTTTTTTGAATCCTCACACACCATTGTGCGTGTGAGAGACAGAGCTGGAATCCATCCACACATTTTGCAGATAAGAAGGCTGAGGCTCAAAGGAAATACAACTGGCCCCAGGCCTTATTAGAAGAGTGCTGGATTGAAATCTGAGTCTTAAATTGGATTGGGCTACATTGTCCTCATTTGGGGGGTGAGTGGCAGGGTCAGCAGATTGACCTTTCTGCAGTTCCAAGCTCCATCCTCAGGGTTGCTGGGGGGATTTCAGCATCCTTCCATAAAAGGTGATCATGGTGGTGGCAGTATCAGTGCCTTGGCCCAGCTCTGACGATGGGGTAAGTAAGTGGGTAGAGTCTGCTCACCTGTATCCTGACGAAACTGGTGCATGGATTGTAGGTCAATGATGTAGGGCACAAGCTGAGTGTCCACCTGCCCCAGGACCACGGAGCCACGAGCATCTTCCTTGAGTACGTTCTCAATGTGGTGGCACACAGTAGCAGTGTAGGGTCTCCAGCGGCTGTGTTCATTCAGCCACTCCCACACCACAACCCGAGCCACATTCTGCGGCGGGAAGCCCAGTCCGTTCACTGGCACCAGCACACCCTGGCCTGGCCGTGACATGGCTGCCAATGCCTCGGGGGCCAGGTCCCTATTGTTGCTTGGCCCAGCTCTTCCTGGGCCTGTGGACAGACAGGCAAACGTTCTCTCTCCCGAGGGGCAGGCAGTCCCGCCTCCTTTCTATCTCTGGGGATGAGAGGCCTCAGGGAAGGGTGTGGGGTGGTGTTCTAGGCTCCAAGAATCCCCTTCCACACAAAGCTGTCTCAGTTCAAGGGTGCTGCTCTGGAAAGCAAATGTCTTCCTTATTGGGGGGGGAGGGTGAGGGAGGACGTGGCTGCTCTAGATTCCTTGGTCCCCTTGGCTCAGGCAGGGAAGTGAGGCCGCCCCTGCTCTAGATCTGGCCTCCTCTCTGCTGCTCTCCGATCATTCTTCCAGCCGCTCAGGGCCTGTCACCCAGGAGGCCCGGGACCCAGCCTGCAGCTCGCCGCCGCCACCGTGGCGTCCAGCCAGCTCTCTGCGCTCCCAACCTCGTCCCAGACCCTGCGCCTGGCTCCAGCGGAGCTGCTCGCAAAGCCTGGGTCCGCCCCCCGACGGCTCCGGCAGAAGGGGGCGTCCCTGTACCCTTGTCCTCTCTCCACAGCGTCCTGGAAAGCCTGCCTGGGTGGCCGCAGAACGCACCCGAGGGAGGCGAAGCGCACCCAAGGCCCAACGGCCTGGGCTGCAGCTCCGGAGTCGGGTTGGGAGCCCAGGGGGGCGGGGGCCCGTGGGCACGCCCCACCCCACTCGTGCTCGCGACCTGCCGAGACAAGAAGGGGAGAGGGCCCTTTAAGAGAAAAGAACGCAGCACCCCCTCCCCCCTTCCCCGGAGAGCGCACGACTGAGAACAATGGGGAACCGATGGGGGGGAACAAGGAGGGGGCTTCAGGGGGTCGTCCTACTAGCGGACCCTTGGGGCAGGCCTAAAAGAAGAACTGGGGTCGCACCTTCTGAGGTGCCTGCCGGCGGCGCCCCCAACCCAACTCCGCGCGCTCCCCTTTCCCTGGCTCGCTCCCAGCCCGGGGGTGCAGGGCGCGGGGATGCGCGGCGCTGCAGGCTCAGCCCAGGGGCTCTGGGGGGGTCGCGACAGGGTAGGGGAGACACCGCGAGTTGGGGCACTCGCTGCCTCCCGCTTTGGGGGGTGACGACTCCCCTTCCCAGCACAGCTCTCCCCAAATCGCGCGGGCCCTGCAGGAGCCGGGGGTGGGGTCCCCTCGCGCCCCACATTCTTACCGCCCCTCTCCTCCGCTCTGCTTCCCAGTCGGCTCGCGCCTCCGCCCCGCCGCCGCCCGGGCTCCCCCCGAGCCGGAGGGAGCCGCGGTCCCGCCTCTGCTCCCCGGTCCTCACAGGCCCCGCGGCCGCCGAGCGCCGACCGACAGCCTCGCAGACCCACGGACACAGAAGCAGGCAGCCGGACACCGGGATCCCGCGGGTGGGAGGCGGTGGCTGCCGCGTTCGGGGGAGGGGCGGGGGCGGAGGAAGGGGAGGAGACAGATCGCGCCCCGAGCGCAGCTGGCGCTGACACTAGTCCCGAGGCGCCCCAAATCCTGGGCTAGGCCCGCGGGGAGCCCCCAAGCAAGGCGTGAGGTGTTGATGGGTCACCTGCTAGAATCTTTTCGTCATCTGTGCATTCCTGTTGCTGAGTCCAGGCCATGTACACAGTCGGTGCTCAGTAAGTGCTTGGATAAATAAAGCCCGAGATGGCTTCCACTGTCTCCTAGTATTCTGGAGGGTGGGAGAAACTGGCAAGGCCCATTTAAGAACCAAATGGGATCTGGGATTCTGAAGTATACAGATACAGAGACTGAGGCCCAGAGAAGGTAAGAGACAGGCCAGGATCACACAGCAGCTTGGAGCAGTGCCCAGAGATGAGCCTACATCTAATTCTCTGCCAATATTGAGTTAGCAGACCCAGAGTCTACTTCCCCAAAATGCTCCAGGTGAGTGGAATGATGACAGCATCCTGCCTCCCAGCCAAGGGCCACCCAGGCCTTGGTTGTTGTTGTTAAGTACCGTAGAGTCGGTTCTGACCCATAGCAACCCTGTACAGGGTTTCCTCGGAGCGGCTGGTGAGCTTGAACCACCAACCTTGCAGTTCAAACCCATAGCGACCCTGTACAGAGTTTCCTAGGAGCGGCTGGTGAGCTTGAACCGCCAACCTTGCAGTTCAATCGGCTTTGCAGTCTGGCGCATTAACCCACAGCGCCACACCAGGACTCCCAGGCCTTGGTAGAAGTCTTCAAAGCCACTAGAAGAAATAAGCTCCCTGAGGACAGACCCCTTTCCTTCCTGTTCATAGCTGTATCCCCCAGTGCTTGCAAATAATAGATGCTCAATAAATGGCGAATGAACATTGGTTGGATGGAAGGGAAGGACAGGGGTGGCAGCAATGTTACTGGACCACCAGTCCCTCCTACCACAGGTTAGCTGGATGCAGCTCAGGATGCACATGGACTGAGAGGGCCTGGACCAGCCGGGGCCTGCGGGTGTTTAGATTCAGGAGGATGAATGATGTGTCCAGGAACTCCAGCCTGGGCAGCAGACGGGGATCAACGGTCTGTTTGGGAGCCTGCCCGGAGCAGCCCACGCTCCCCTGCTTCTCCAAGGCAGTCGGTGATAAACTAGGGGAGGTCAGGGACAGGCTGCTCAGCGGCCGTTTCCCAGAACCCAAGTTCCTCAGCCAGCTGGAGTGGCCTCCTCTCCTCAGGTCCCTGCTCTGTGCTGCAAGACAGACCAGTGCCTCTTGGAATTTTCAGAATGGGGTAGTGATTCTGCTTGCTTGTGCTTGCTGCAGATCAAAGACAGAGGGGTCTGTCTGAGCATGGCCAGGCCTACAGTTATAGCCATATCATTGTGCTCTGGCATTGTAGCCTATGGCCCACCGATGGCTTTCAGGGGGTCCAAAAGCCCTCATCCCATTATTGACAATTATGTATATGTGTGCAGTTTACTGGGAGGAAGAATTCTGACTTTCAGAAGATTCTTAAAGGAGGCAGGATTCAAGAGCTTCAGAGTTGATGCCCAAACACCTTAAGTTACAGAAAGAGACCTGGGGGCTCAGGATGGGGAACAGGCTGACTCAAGGTCACGTGGGGGTCTAGCAGCACCTTGGAAAGAAGAACCCAGGTCTCCTGACTTCCTGTTTAATGCTATTCAAGGTCTGACTAAATATTACTACCTCTAGGAAGCTTTCCCTGAACTCACCCATTTCCTCTGATTTCCTTATCCTATACCTTGATCTGACACCTGTATGATTAGTGTTGTGTGATGTTGGGTCAGTTCCACTATAGAGGATTTCTCTATAGAGGATTTCCAAAGCTATACATCTTTGGTGGTGGTGTTGTTAAGTGCCATCGAGTCAGTTCTGACTCAGAGCTACCCTGTACAGAGTTTTTGAGGAGCAGCTGGTTTGAACTGCCAACCTTGTGGTTTGTAGTCCAGTGCTGATCTTGTAGCACTATACCAGGAGTCCTGATGTGTCAGTGCACGATAATGCACTGGATTGCAAGGGCCATTTTAATCTCAAGGTCAGCGGTTCAAACTCACCAGCTGTGCCTCAGAACTCCTATACAGGGTCACTATGAGTTGAAACCAACTCAACGGCACTTAACAGTAAATCTTTACTGGAGCAGAAAGCTTTATCTTTCTCCGGAGTAGCTGCTGGTAGTTTTGAATTGTAGACCTTGTGGTAAGCAGTCCGGTGATTACCTCACAGTGCCACCAGGGTTCCTATCACTATTAGCTATTTCAGTGTGGCACTGTGGGTTAATGTACTGGACTGCAAAGTCAGTTTGAACAACAAGGTCAGTGGTTCAAACTCACCAGCCATTCCTCAGAAACCCTATACAGGGTTGCTGTGGGTCGGTACCGACTAGATGGCACTTAACACCAACTAGAGTAAACATCCATGAAATCATGGGACTGTCTTCTTCATCTTTATACGATGTGACTGGTGCTCATTACATCCTGGTTATCATTTACTCAAAAGGCACTTCACAACAACAACAACATCATTTACTGAGTCTGTTATGGTCCAAACACTTACATGTTGTTATTGTTGTTAGACGCTTCTGACTTCTGGCTAAGCCCATACAACAAAATGAAACATTGCCTGGTTTTGCAGCATCTTCTCAAGCATTGGTGTGCTCAACTCTTATTGTTGCAGTCACCATGTATTTTGTGAGCCTTCTACTTTAGGGGGCTCATCTTCCAGCAGTATATAGAACAATATTTTGATACGATCTATAGGGTTTTCATGATTGATTTTCCAAAAGTAAATAGCCAGACCTTTCTTCCTAGTCTGTCTTAGTCTGGAAGTTCTGCTGAATCCTGACCTGGGTCATCCTGGTGGCATTTTAAATACTGGTGGCATAGCTGCCAGCATCACAGTAACATGGGCCACCACAATAGGACAAATTGACAGATGGGTCCTTTCATAGTACTTTTTTTTTTTTACAACCACCCCCAAAGATAAGTAATTTTTTCATTTTGTTGTTGTTGTTAAGTGTCGTTGAGTTGGTTCAGACTCGTAGTGAGCCTGTATAGGGTTTCTGAGGATCAGCTGGCGAGTTTGAATCTCTGAACTTGTGGTTTGTAGTCTACTGCTGATCCTACAGTGCCACACCAGAAGTCCTTTTTTACAGTGAAAATATGTCCCCACAAAAACCCCTGAGGAACACAACTAGAGGAAGAAAGAAGAGGTGGGAAGGAGTAACCCACTATAAGTGGATGAACTTGACCTATGCTTGTGGATGGAGTATGACAAAGGAGCAGACAAATCTCTACAGTAAGGATCATTCCCACCCCCTTGATACACAGGGTCCACAGGGAGGGGGAACTTAGACATTAGCTACCCAAAATGGGGGGACTACAAAGTCAAGGAGTGACTGGCTTACAAGCTTTCAATAGGGAACCTAGCTCCAGAGGATACAGGGAAAGGTAGAATCTCCACTGAATTGTTTCCAACCTGTCTGGATGGGGTTAATAAAAGGTGAGGGGGAAAGGACTGCTGTGGTTCAATAGGGAAAGATTGCTATCAGGTCTGTCCGTGAGTGTTGAAAAGGTAAAAGTAAATGCAAATGTTTGGTAACAAAAGGAGGGGAGTGGCTGATTTTGCAGTCCAGGAGCTAGATCCTTGGAACCTCGCAGAGATCCCTGGAACCATCAAGGGCGAAAAGTGAAGTGCAAGAGACTGTTCTGAAAGGCAGTGGCACTGGGGATGGAGGCAGAGACATTGAAGTGGAGAGAAGGAGCGGCTGGGGATTCTGGACTCAGGGAGGGAGAGGGGTTGTGTGCTGGTGGCTGGGGGGCAGGTGTGTAGGGTATACCCTTTGATTGTTTGATGATGCATGCAGAGGATTGTGATCTTTGCAATGAAACAAACTACGATAGGCTGAATGTAAAGATAATGTTCACCCTTGTAACCTAACACATAATTCACAATAAAAACTTAAAAACAAACAAACCCTGAAGCCCAGAAGGTTAACTGGGTTTCCCAAGTCCCCACAGGGAGTAGATGGAACTTGAACCTCAAATCCTGTTGCATCTCTTAAACACCATCTGTTTCTTTGTTGAGTGGCTGATGAATGACATTAAGCTGAGGATCTTGTACACTGTGGCCCTTACTTGTCCCTTCAACGGGACCAGTTGGCCAAATAGACTGTAGAACATTTTAGAGTACAAAACCCTGTTCTGACCACCCTGAGGGAAAGGAATTATAAGAGGAGGAAGATCTAGTTGGCCTTTAAGGAGATCCAGTTGGTCCACTGGGGAGATGGCAACGACATTAATGGAAAAGCCAAGAAAACAAAAGCAATCAATCATAAACTAATATTTTTCTTCTACCATCCATCCATTTGCCTGTCCACCCATCCATCCATCCATCTGTGTATCCATCTGTACATTCATTCATGCACGTACTCTTCCTTCCTTTCTTCCCTTCCTCCCATCCTTCCTTTTGTCCTGTCCACCCAGCTGTTCATTCATCCATCCTCAAACTATGGGAGTCCTCCTATGTGTCAGGCATGGACTATGTGCTGAGATGCAGACATAATCAAAGAAACAGGTGTCTTCCCTTCAGGTCCACAAGTCTAGTAGGGGAGTCATATATGAATCAAAGATTCACAGAGTGAAATTACATACTTTCGTAAGAGCAATGAAGAAAAACATCAGGATAATAATGAACTTGGTACAGGTGAGATGGAATGAGCAGGAACACAAACACCCACGTGTAAGGTTTTATAAGGCTTTATTGGAGGTCGGAAGGAAAAAGAGAGGTATTGCTGGGGGAAGGATTTTTATACTGGTCGAAGAGGAGGGCGGGGTTAAGATTAGTGGAGGTAGGTGATAGGTTGACTAGGGATGACTTACCGGTAGGGAGAGAGGAAGTTCCTGTAGGAAGAGAAGTTCTGGTGGGGAGAGAAGTTCGGTAGGGAGAGTGAAACCATGGTAAGCAGCCATTTTGTAATGCATGTAGTTGTGGGGTTCTATCATTCCAGCATTTTGTTGTTATGGGTACAGGGGCTGAGGTCATTTCTTCTGGAGCTGCTTCCT